CCCCGCTGAAGCCACGGAGCACGAATGTCCAACATAAAACTAATTTTACCACGTTTAATGTGGTGCTATGGCTCTGCAGACATTGCACGTTGCCGTCTTGTTTTGTGGTGTTTAGTGTAAAATACTTCCACACAGCGGACATGTTTAGATGAAAAGTTGGTTAGCCGTTAGCCACAGTGCTAACTCAGTCCTCGCGTTGTAGCTGGCTGCAAACTATGAACTGGATTTCCTGAATGTGAGGCGGGTCTTATTACTCTGGATTCATGAGACACGCCTCTGTTCAGGAAATCCATTCCATAGTTTGAAGCCAACATGCATCATGGAAATCTCTGCAGGTTGGATCGGAAAAATCTGATACGTAAATTGTGCTGGTATCGGAGGCTGATACGGATACTGGATCAGGTTGGACCCATCCCTAATGTTTAATATGACATTTGGCAGACGTGTCTCATTATTTGGCAATAAACTGGTCAGTTGCATAATAAGCAGTTATTAATGATTTATAAAGTGTTTATAGAAGAATTAATAATGCATCTATAAACTATTTATTAGCCATCTATAAGGGAAGCCTTATTGGAAAGTGGTACCGACTAAACAATTACCTTTGCTCCGGTTTAATCCATGTTCATGCACCGAATGAACTAAAATACGAGGCCAACCCTGACCATCATCAGGGACTGTATGAAGTTCATCAGTCATCTGCAGCTTTAACAGTTTCTACTCTGGGAATAGTTACACAAGATTTCAGTGCTTCTGTTGAAATTTACTTCTGCAGTGAACTGCTGAGGCCTTGTGCTGATGGGAAACAAGGTCCGGTTTCACTTCATTCTAAAGGTGCTCCATGAGTTGAGGTCAAACCTACTTGCAGGCCAGTCAAGTTGTTCCACACCAAACTCAAACCCCGTCTCTATAGTCCTCGCTTTGGGAGCTGGAGGGCGTGATTGCACATCTTTGTGGCAACTAGAACTAAAGGGCCATGCCCAAACTAAAACCTATATTTAACAATTAACAGGCGTGGCAAATGTTTATTTGGTGCATCTGCAGTTTTTTTTATTGTTGTTCTGAACAAAGAACAACGTCTTTAAGTTGTTCATGTGCCTACAATCCAACCACATCCAGTGTCTTTCATACCAGTTGGTAAAAAGTTGGCTTGTACCCAATCGTGTGGTCATTTCACAAGTTTTTATGAAATATTTTAAATACATTATACTATATTAAATAATTTACACGTCTGCTCAAAAGCGTGTCTACACACCTGCGAGCACCACTTCCTTTAACGGCATATAAAAAAATGGGTGGATGTGTGAGAAACAGGGTTAAAGAAAACACATTACTTTACTTATGTGAGGGGAGTCATTTCATTACAGGGTGCAGGAAACGGACCCTATGTAATCTTCATAATCAATACCGGAGATAAATGTGACTTTCACCACAAACATCCAACAAGACTATGAGGACACCAACGAGGCAGAGGGATTAATGAGTGCAGGGAGATAAATGTTACTTGGATTATGGCACATAACCGGTGGTGCAGTAAAATTATGTTATTGATTATAGAAATTCTTCACACCAAGAGTGAGAGCAAAATTATTTTTCCAATAGGAAGGATAGTCAACACAAGGTGTTTAACATACTATGATCCCCTGCGATGTGATTTGGTTTACAAAAAACAAAACCTGCTTAAATGTGAGCCCGCTTTTAATAGTGTGGATGTTTATGAAGCGTTGACGGTCTCAGAGTTGACGGGGGAGAGGGTGGGCCCCGGAGGCCATCTTAGCATCAGCAAACTTTTTTTTCTTTCCCTTCAGTATTCTGTTTGGGAAGAATCAGTTTTGTTTGGTGCCTTCTCAGATGGAGGAAGTCCTTAGGATGAAAGACAAAACGTCTCGGCACAAACAAAAAAAAAAAGAAACCGTCCAGACGACCTGACTGAACATTGTTGGATTTTATACCTGGATGACTGAGCATGAACTTTGGTGCTTATGAAGCATTCACTTTATTGTGATCCATCTTTCTTCCATAGGTTTTTGGTGAGTTTCTTGTCCTGCAGTTTTTCAGCTATTTCAACAAATCATATTTCAAAACGTTCAGCTCTTTCAGGACAATCCTGATATGACCTTTGGTATTGGTGCAACTTTAGCTTTTAGAAATATTTAGCCTTTTCTGCCACTTTTTTCCTCACAGAAAATGAATTGAGCTCATTTGACATTCTTCAGATCTTTAGATCTGTTTACAACCTTTTACTGATCCTTTCACAGTTTGTTCTGGCTCAGCTTCTTTCAGCTTCCTTGAGCAAATTTGAACTTTTTTCAGCTAATTTCAGTTCATTTAATCTGTTCTGTGCTTCTTCAAACTTCGTTCTGCTAATGTCAGCTTGTTATGCGTCTTTCAGCTGATTTCTAAATAAAGTCTAAATAAAGGTTGACTGAATTTCCTGAGTGTTCCTGTTTTTAGTTTTCTACATTCGCCTTAGAATCTAGCTGTTTTTTGTTGCTTTTCTTTTTTTAGCCATCCTATTTGTAAAAAAAAATAAAATAAAATCTGCCTTTTTATAACCGTCTATTGTTGTTGCTGTTGTCCATTGTTGTCATCATTCTTTGTTGAAATCAGGTCTCTGTTGTAAATGAGTCCTCGAGGCTCAATGGGATTTACCTGTCTAAATAAAGGTTGAATGAATTTCTGCAAGTTTCAGCTTTTTCTACTATTTCAGCTACTATATAGCTGTTTTATGCTAATTTAAGCTTTTTCAGCTAATCTCGTCACTTCCTTCTGATAATTTCAGCTTCTTTCTGCTTTTTTTAGCTACTTTTCAGAGATTTTTTTTTTGCTAATGTAAGCTTTTTTTTCTTTTTTTTTTTAGATAATTTCAGCTTTTTTCACTTCCTTTTCATAAGTTAAGCTTCTTTCTGCCTTTTTGGCTATATTTTAGATTTTTTTTGTGTGTGTTAATTTTAGCTTTTTTAGTGGATTTCCTAATTTTTGTACTCATCTTTGCTTATTTAAACATAATTCAGCAAATATGTGTTCTTTCTGCTTTGTTCTGCTAATTTAGACTTGTTCTTTTATTTCAGCATGGGTTTTTTTGTTAGCTAATTTCAGCTGTTTTTCAGCAAGTTCTTCTGCAATAAGCATTCGCATTGCATTTTTGAAGGAAATGCAATTTCTCTAGTTGTTAGGGATTCATCAAGGATCTTTCAGCTTGTCCTTGAATATCTTCAAAGAATCGCTCTTTAATAAAATAACGGGGGTTACCGTGTAGTTAAAATGTAAGGGTCTCCAGACAAAGCTGTGCATGTGTGTACCTTTTCTCCATGTCCCAGATGCTCGGTCTTTACTTCTGACAAAGTCTTCCAGATGGCGAGTAGTCCCATACCGCCACCTTTCACCTCTGTCAGAGACTGCCCAACCATAGCGTGGCCTTCTTTGTCAAACCTACAGGACATAAAGACAGAACCAGTGAGTGATCATTTCACCTCAGTTACACCAAAACGTACATTCTCCATGCTGATAATTTAGACGTTGGTTGTTATCCAGATTTATTCGTTTGATTTCTGAAATCTACATAATTAGCAATCTGCATCACGTTGCCAAGGTTACCAAACTAAGGCGTTTAGCTTAATCATACAACATATTCAGATGCTCCCAAAAATACAAGCCATTTCAATTTGCCCTTTTTCACCCAAAAATAAAAAAAATCAAACTTTGTAGACAACTTGCTTCATTAGCTTTATTCCATTTTTCAATGACCCCCTTCCCACAGATGGCATCAGGTAGGTTTATTTCACATGTACTGGAAAGAAGAAAATCTGATAATTTAATTTAGTGTTT